AAAAAAAAAAAAAAAAAAAAAAAAAAAAAAAAGCAGCACCTTTTTTTCCCTTGCCTTTTCTGCCCAGTTATTGCTCTGCTTGAAAGCACTGTTAGTTCAGGTGCTTTCAGTGTACCCACTTCCTGAGAACGTCAGCACCTCTCCCTAAATACACATGATATCAAATGCAAACTCCCCAGGGAATACAGATTTGCAGCTTAATTTGGGTTCTTTGTGAGTTAAAGCACAAKCCTCCCTGTCTATTCAATCACTTTTCCCTTCCTTCATCTCTCCCTGCTTTTTAAACAAACTACTGGAGAACAATTCTGATGAAGCAGTGGGTGAAAGGCATTGAAAAAAGGCATTGAAAATTGCTATCTCTGACTGTACGGCACGGACTTTTCCTCCCGTTAAACAGAAGCTGGCAGGGTTGTGGTGCCTGACAGGATATTCTTTCCATTTGTTAACTGTGAGACATCTTTCTCCGCTACAGGGTGGGGTCACATTGCTGAAGCAACAGGACACAATTGCATGCAAATGCCTCTTCTTCCATTCCCCCACCTAACTGTAGTTGGATTTGGAGATCCTCAGGCTCTTCGTGGACTATGAGTCAATTTTAGCCTTCTTGGAGCTGCCAGCTTTTTCCACTGACTCACCCTGAAGTTCTCAAAACTACAATTATTTAACCCTGCAAACGTTCAGGACAATCTGTCCTTTCTAGAGCTGCTTCTCAAGAACCAGTCAAGCAACCAGGCAATGAATCCTTCAGTGAGCCTCCTGATACATCTTCCTGATGAAAGATCCAGGCCACACAAAGAAAAACAGAATTGAGACATACGAGTAGAACGACTACCAAGGTAGGACAGGTTGTTGGGGAAGAAAGGGCCAAAGTCATGCACCTGCTGATCAGCCTGGGTGATTAAGAGAGATCTATTCACTGATGAGCATGGACTGAGTTTCCTTTCTCTGGACTGAATAATGTGGAGAAATGACAGGCCTCACTAAGATTAATCATGAATTACAGTTGCTGTGGCAGTTTTTAACACGTACTCAGGCTCTGCCTATGTAGAGACTATTTGTCTGTCCATGGTGGGAATGCACATACTGGGAAACAACACACAGCTTTGCTGCACCCCAAATTCAAGTTCAAGCAAGCAAGCATTGTCCACTAAAATAAGTCTTCTCATGCAGGCAAAATAAAGTCCTCAGTATAGGCTCTCTGTGTAGTTAAGTGTTTTAGATCCCTATATCTGGAGAACAGTCTGGAGAAGTGAGTCCTTGTCCTTGGATGACTGCTTAGCATAGCATCAGAGTGGAATGCAGAGTGCCACTTGGAGATGCAACAAAGGCCTGTGATAGAGTTCCTCAAATACAGGGAGTGGGTCACTCTAGAGGACAAGCCAGATTAGATGGTGGTCTTTGCTTATGGCAGAAAGTGCATTGCAGTGGAAGGAGCAGAGGGGAAGTAAACAAAATGTTTCCCTGTTTGGAGGTTGCTTTCTCTCTTCTTTTCTGTCTTCCTAGAAAAGTCCAATATTTAAGGTAAAGATTTACACACTGCCCTGGTACAGGAATACTGATGGTTCAAAACAAGGCCAAGATGATTGGGAAAGGAAGGGGAAAAATAGTGAGGAAGGGATAGAAAAATTATTTGATGCTATTCGAGATGACACAAACCAGCCATATCACTGGTGCGTTCTTCAGAGCAAAGACAACCTGCAAATAGGAATGCTACTGTGATCAGTATGGGAAATCTCAGGACAAGGTAAAAACTTTTGCAGAGTTTGTAGATCTGCCTCAGAGTGATCTGAAGCCCTAATTGCATCTTAGTCCCACTGCAATTACATGCCTTGCGTATGAAGTGAGTGCAGGTTTTCATGAAGCCCAGGCTCATGAGGCAGGCTGCACGGATGCTGAGGTCTCTGTGACGTTCTGGTGGCATGGTGATTTTAGACCTGGCATCAAAAAGCTCATGAGAACTTTAAACAACCAAAGGAAATGGTCTTGTTGTTTGTGCTTTTCTCCACTCCTTGCTTCACATCCAGTAGAAACCAGAGTCTGGAGTTTTATAGAGCACTCTGTGCCAACACTACTGTTGAAAACTTGTGGCCTGCCTCAGTTTACAGGTTGGACGCTTTTAATAGTAATGTGAATGAGTAGGTAACTCTGGAAAGAGATTTCATATGTCTGAAAAAAGGGTTAGGCAGAAGGTGTGTGTGAGCACACAGTGCTCACCTTTGGAGCCTCTGGTTTATGGCAACAAGTTAGGAAAAATTTGCACATGCAGAGGTGCTACCTGTGCTGGCCAGGCAGAACACAGCAAAGCTGTACAAGTAGCAGATGAATATGAACATGAAGGGAAGTGCAGAGTAGCCCAGGGGGTTGCAACTAAAAAGAAGAAAATAGGCCTACGCAAATGGAAGGTTTTGTCTGGTTCTTCTGAGGCATTTCCTGGTGGTATGCTCTCCAAGGGATCGGGGGAATTGCCTT